CTCCCACTCAGGGGGGTACGGGATGCGGATCGTGTTTCGAACGTGCGGCTTCGTGAGGATACAGCGCCGGCGGCCGTCCAAAATAGAGGCTCATTTGCTTGTCGACAATGAAGACCGCCCAGTAGACGCGCCGCAGGATCTCCCTGTCGACAGAAGATTCCGATTTGCTGTTTGTCCAGTTTCCTGGATCCAAATGCAAGCCCATCTCATGTGTCAGGCGGAACGCCATGCCGCAGAACAGCCAGCCTTTTGAGCTTCTTCCTTGTCCAATCTCTAGATGACCCAAGATTATGAGTGACTGGAGAGTTGTAAGATCGGGCAGCTCGAGGGAGTCGAAGACCATGGCGCCGGCGCGTTTGAGAAAGACTGGCAGGAGTGCCCTGAGTGCGGGCTCTTTCGAGATTGAGGCGCCGACGGCACAGATGGAGAACATGAGCGTATCTGAGTAGTAAGGCCCGCTTTCGGCATGATAATCTCGGAGGAAGTATTCGCGGTAGACGCACATGTTGTATTGGTAAACAGTCTGGAAGAACGTTGCCATTAGTTGACGGCAAGTTTTGTCCTTGGGCTGAAACGAGTATGCCTGATACTCCATGTTGTCGTTGTGTGTAGTTTCCGTGTCTGGGTCTAATCGGCGCTCCCCAGGACTCTCAGAGGGCCCTGCAAGTTGCTGAGGGTTTGGGGGTGTCGTCTCCGAGAGTTGCACGAACAAGCTGGTGCCGCCGTAAAACTGGGACGCCTTTCTCGCAGCCGCGAGCTTGCACATCCGGCCTTCCCTTGCTCTGGCAAGGACGAGATCTCCGGACTCTGAGGGAGAGCCTGATGCAGCTGATGGCACATGATCGTCTACCATGAGCGGTTGGCTCGCAGGTTGGGGGTGCGGTTGATATGATGGAGGTGATGAGGATATTCCGGCGAGGAGTCGAGACCTCGTAGCATCATCGGCAGAGGCGAGATCTTGAATGAACAACTCCAGCGAGCTCACCTGACTCTCCAAGGCTTGCACATGCTTCTTCGAAGCTGGACTGCATTTGAAGCTGTTAGCTATGGGATATGTCGAACAAACCGCTCTGGGTGTGTTCAGCATTGCTTATTGCTTGCTTACCGTGATCTTTCACCTCCAGAAGGGTATGAGCAGTCTACTTTAGCCGCTCGACACTTGGAGCAAGGATTGTGCCGGTCACATTTGATCTTCACTTTCATTAGCTCAAGCCAACCTGCTGTAGAAGGTCACCAACTTTGCGTTTTCGACAACGCTCGCATCTACAGAGCAGCGCACCGCACTGTTAGCCAATACTCCATTCGTCACTTTCAGCATGTTGCGAACGTGTTGCATTGGCTCCAGGGAAATAATGATCAAAATGCAGTGTTGCTAGCGACATGGAGGGCATCTCACGATATTCCGGTCAACTCAGACATCATGCTAACTGTTACAGAGTGCGACCTTGTTGCTTGTGGATCCATCTTGTCACAGTTGCTGACTCCATACGTAAGTCCACGAGGATAGAGATGACTTGGGCGACAGTGAGCGACAGACGGACATCGTGTCCGACGAGGTACCTTAACAAGAGTTGATCAAACCGACCACGGAGGCGGGAGTCCATGTAAATACGACGAAGGGGGACGACCTGGACAACGACACCCCGCACGAGTAATCTTCACTCCAAAGGACGCTTGTCCGTGTCTGACTCGCTCTATCGACCAATTTGTGGGGAGCTGAGCGACAGACAACAGCTAGGGTCATCTAGCTCTCCCCTTCTACTGGCGATTGAGACGGAGGCGGAAGTCCGTCTCCAGTCCTCAGATGCCCCTTCACCTTGTTAGGCCAGCTCATGATACATCAGGCCCCCCTGAAAGCGCAGCCACCCAAGTTAGGGCCATCGGCACTGTAACGGATAGTCTTTACTTCTGCGCAGCGATGGTCCAGTCCCAAGTTGCCGGTCACAGCTCCTAGCTTCCCCTGATAAGTGTATCGATCATGATAGCCGCCGAGCCTGCCCCGCATTACCTCGAGTCCGGGGTTCACCCCCAGATAAGCCAAGGTGACACGACAAGAGCTCCGGGACAAACCGTGCTTAGGTTGTATGAATTGAAATAGTTACCGTAGTTCCTTCTTGACAACATCTTGGATGCCGGTGAAGAGTGGTTCACATAAATACAACACGTCTCGCCCGCTGGGTTCTGACTCGATGTCTTGTTCGATCTCACTCTACCATCACCAAACTCCCATTTGACCACACTGCTCAACAAAACCCTATTCCTGACACTATTCTCTACCTCTACTTCAGTCACAGCGCAATTGTCAACCCGATCATGGCGTCAGAAAAGGTCTCTGAGACTATGCCGGTTCCGCCAAGCGAGAACACGAACTTGGAGGTGACCAAGTCCGCTCTCATGACCATCGACGATCATGAAAAGGGAGGCTCAATTTGCGAAGAGCCTTCCAACGAAATCTATGTTGATCCTCTTCTCGAAAAGCGTGTCCTTCGGCGTCTTGATTATCGGTTTGCCCCTTTATTCTGCGCACTCTACTTCATGGCCTACCTCGACCGAAGCAACATCGGTAACGCATACATCGCTGGCATGCGCGACGAGCTCGGTCTCTCTGGCGCCCAGTTCAGCACTGCCGTCAGTGTCTTCTTCGCTACCTATGTTGCATTTATGGTCCCTTTTGTTCTGGCTCTGAAGAAGCTGAAGACACACCGCGCCATTGCTGTTATGGCTTTCGCCTGGTCCATCGTCACCATCGGCACGGCCTTCATCAAGAGCTACAGCGGGCTCCTCGCGTGCCGCATCCTGCTGGGCGTCTGCGAGTCAGGTTTCTTCCCTTGCATCAGTTTGTACATCACCATGGTGTATAATCGTCATGAGCAAGGTTTGCGATTTTCCTATTTGTTCGCTGCAACGGCCTTCTCAGGCATGTTTGGCGGGCTTGTAGCCACGGGAATTACCAAGATCGGGAATACCGGGGGCCTTCAGTCGTGGAGCTGGCTGTACATCATTGAGGGCCTCATCTCCCTCACTGTTGTTCCATGGGCGTGGTTCGGACTTCCCGAGTATCCAGCCAAGGCCAGGTGGTGGACACCGGAGCAGCGTGATACCATGGAAAGACGCGAGCTGAAGCGTCAGGAGTACATGGGCACCGAGACGTTTGAGTGGTCGCAGGTCTTCTCCGCTCTCCAGGACTGGCGTCTCTACACAGGGTGCGTTCTTCTCACTCGACGCTGAATCGTTTTGACGTGGGCACCTGCTGATTCTCACCAGGGCTCTCATCCAGTTCTTCCAGGACGTCATTCTATATGGCTTTAGCAGCTTCCTTCCTTCTATCCTCCGCGATGGACTTGGCTTCTCGAGGCTCGAGGCTCAATATCTCAGTGTCCCAGTGTACCTCCTCGGCGGCATCTCCTTCTTCGTGGCAGCCATGCTCGGCGACAGATACGGACTTCGCGGCAGCATCCTGCTGTTTCTCGACATCTTTGCTGTTGCCGGCTATGCCATCCTTCTGTCCGTGTCGAACTCTAGCGTCCGCTACTTTGCCTGCTTTCTCATTGCCTTGCCCCTCTACTGCGGTCCGGGTCTCAACGAGATGTGGATCGTCAACAACACGACGCCTCACTACCGCCGTGCCACTGCGCTGGGCATTTCCCAGGCTGTAGGCAACGTTGCCGGTGTTGTGGCCGGGCAGGTCTACCGCAAGGGCGCCGTACATGCTGGGCCACTGGTCGAGTCTGGCGTCTGCAGTGATCTGCATGGTCCTCATCTCAGTGCAGATTGTACACTTCAAGATGGAAAACAACAAGAAGGACCAGATCTCCAGGGGGGAGCGTGCAGATGATCGACCCACCGTGACTGGCGAGTACAATCTCAATTTCCGCTATGTTTACTGAGCAGACATGGGGCAATTCTGTACCCGTCATGTCGGAGGTTCTGGTAGTATGCACATGACCCCCCTGAACAAGTTTGCGAGGACGCAGCAAAATGCGACGCTTGGGAAAAGAACAATTTTCAGTTTTGCTCGCTTGATTGCTTCCTTCAGACTCTGACTACAATAGTGCAATGGGATTTCAGGGAGTCCAGTTAAAGAGCGAGTGTCTTCACGATCGTGTCAGGAGAGGCTGTTTGTGTATCCGTCAGCATGTCATACCTTTCATCGGCGTCCTACCCGCATGCTACGACAAATTTCCGATGGAAGGTTTGGAACTGCCGCTCTTCAGGCTGGTCCGTTGGGCTAGACGTCACAGCTTTTGACATGACTGTCGTAGCCGGCGCTGTATTTCTACGAATTGGTGCTTTGGGCTATTGGTCTGTAGAGTTTGAGCATTCGTTCATGAAAAGAATTGTAAGCCATTTACAAATGCACGATAACGTAGTGTGTGCGCCTATTGTAGGATGTTCAACATGAATGAAGTGGCTCGGGACTCATCTACTGACTTTCGCGTCTCTGCGTTGATGGTAGCAAGTGATGGAAATGGCTGACCAGTCCTCAAAGGTTGAAGGCGCGACACAGTATCTCAGTATCCTTGCATTCACCAAAATGTCCGTAATTCTGTGACAGCAGTCCGTCAACTGCACAGCAATGGGTCGATGCAGCTAAATTGGGTATGCTAGACACGTCTATTTGAGCACCTCATCCTCCATACAATCCAGCACAAGCATATGCCCCGGCGCATGCGCCATGACTGTCCCCTCGAGATCGGCCCTCATGACAGCCTCCTGCGGCGTGACGCCGCAGCCCCAGAACACAGGCACGTTCTCCTCATCTCCCGCAACATCCCCCAACGGCCGCCCGTCCATGGTCAGCGGCGCGTCTCCCCACTGTGGCACGTTGACGTCCTTGATGCCGAGCCTCTCGAGCGCGTCCCACCCCCAGGCCACGCACTCGCCGTGCGTAGGCAGATACCGCTTCGTTATGGTCCGAATCCTGTCGATATCGGCCTTGCGGTACGGTCTCATGGACACGACGTACGTTGCGCCCGTGAAGACGCCCGAGGGGTTGAGGGGGATGTTGGACCGGTACATGGGCACGTTGCGGTCCAGGAGGGCGTGCCGCGGAGGCAGGCCCTGTGCTGCGAGGGCCGACTCAAAGCTGTAGCTGCATCCGATGACAAAGGCGACGTGGTCGTCGGTCCAGTGGCGCAGAATGTCTGGGACGCCGTTCTGTGCGAGCCTTGCGTTCTGGTAGACGTTGAAGCGAGGGCAGTCTGTGCGCATGTCGAGCCCTTGGGCGATGCGGTGGCCATCGAGGCCGGGGACGTGTGACTTGAGATTTGTGAAATCCCCGGGGGCCCGCGATTCCGCAATCAGGGGGCAAGGGACGGGGTTGCGCGCGCAGAGATCGCGAAAGTCGTCGGCGTAGCGGGAAGGCAGGATGATGAGATTTGCTTGGAGGTGCTTGGGGGCCAGGCCTGAGGTCGATTTCGTGTATTGGTTGTTGCGGGCGGCGAGGCGGGCCTCGATGCCTGTTCGAGGTACGTGCTAGGGTTGGCGATGGTCGTCCCCCGAGAGGCGGTCTCGGAGATTGATGTCTCGGTGATGGTAGCCATGGCAGGAGTAGGTCTATATGTGTGTTTGAGGCGGAAGAGCACGGCAATGATCCTATGTTGTCTATTCTGGGTTGTCTCAAGAGGTAGAGGTGCAGAAATACAAGATCCAGCAAAGTGACACTTTGGGACCGCTTGGCATTGTGTGAAGCAATGAATCAACAATCCAAGCTGTTCAAGACAGAATGACAATAACAGGGAAAGACAAGAGCGATATGTAGAGTATGGACAGAACAGGGTTCCCCCAGTTCACTGGGGTTCTTGTTGGCTATGCATCTTGACGTTCGACTAAGACGGGCTGCCGAGTCCGATGAACGGACATCGACCCAGCGCTTAGAGTCGGCCTGGATTGTCCGAAGAGAACGAATCGTTTAAGGCACATTGCGTGGTTAAGGGCAGCGGGGACGGATGTCCGCCTCCGTTTTCACGGGCCCGAACCCCATGACCTTTACCAACACCAACCGCTGAACTACCCAACCCAACTTTGGCGTCAATGAACAGAGGGACAGCTATGCGCAGTAGAGTGTGCGGGGTTCCGTCTCCGTGACAAGATGATTGAGGCTGGGCGCCCTATAGTCTTCCAAACGACTGTGTGGTTTCCAGGCAATCAAGAGAGCAGCAAAGATGGTCTTGGCATGCCAAGACCACAGACCATCAGGCCTAGCTTCCAGCTACCGACACATAGCTGCCGCGGTGTCGCGGGGTAGTCGGCTTTGAGCCTCCTAAACTCGGAGCATCACTCGCAGTGAGAGACTTGAGGGACCAAGACGATGTTTTGTAGATAATAGGGACCATCACTCCCACTCTCAAAAGTGAAGTGCCAATGAGTCGAACAAGAACATCATACTTTTCATGAATGATACCCCATTCAACCTTGTTGTGCCCTCCATTCTGCTCTCCTTTTCATTCGGTCTACCAACCGAGCATATGAGCCTCTCATCTCAACACACCTCACCCTGACCGAGACCACGACCACGACCACGACCATGCCCGGCGTCCAGATTTCCATCGACCGCGGCGGCACCTTCACGGACGTGCATGCATCCGTGCCCGGCCGTGAAGACATCATCCTCAAGGTTCTCTCCGTCGACCCAGCCAACTATCCCGATGCGCCCACAGAAGGCGTCCGCCGCGTGCTCGAGCTCGTCACCGGCAAGCCTCACCCCCGCGGCACGCCCCTCGACACGGCGCCCATAGACCGCATTCGCATGGGCACAACCGTCGGCACAAACGCCCTGCTCGAGCGCAAGGGCGCCCTCTCCGCGCTGCTCGTCACAAAGGGGTTCCGCGACCTGCTGCGCATCAGTACCCAGTCGCGCCCTAACATTTTCGACCTCAGCGTCGCCACGCCAGAGCTGCTGTACCAAGACGTCGTCGAGGTCGACGAGCGCGTCACACTGGAGGGCTACTCGGAAGACCCGGAACCGCAGACCATCGACCCGGCGAGCGACCCGTCGCTGCACGTCGGTCTGACGGGCGAGATTGTGCGCGTCCTCCAGACGCCAGACCTGGACGCCGTGCGCGCGTCGCTGCAGAAGCTGTGGGACGACGGCTACCGCTCGCTGTCGGTCGTCTTCCTGCACTCGTACGTCTACCCGGCGCACGAGCGGCTCGTCGGCAGCCTGGCGCGCGAGATGGGCTTCGCGGCCGTCGAATCGGCGGCCCTGCAGCCCATGATCAAAGCCGTGCCGCGGGGCACGTCGGCGACGGCAGACGCATACCTGACGCCGATTATCCGGGCGTACATCGACTCGATATCGGCCAACTTTCAGGGCGGGCTCGAAGCGGCGAACCTGCGCTGCGACTTTATGCAGTCAGACGGAGGGCTCGTCGACTTCCGGGCCTTCAGCGGCCTGAAGAGCATTCTTTCGGGTCCGGCGGGCGGCGTTGTCGGGTATGCGCAGACGTCGTGGGATGAGGAGCAGAGGAAACCCGTCATTGGCTTCGACATGGGCGGTACATCGACAGACTGCTCGAGGTTCGCCGGTACGTATGAGCATGTGTTTGAGACGACGACGGCGGGCGTTCTCATCCAATCGCCCCAGCTTGACATTATCACGTATGTTTCCTCCTCTCTATCCTGTCCGCCAAAGCCGCCTCACGAACTAACACCCGCAGCGTCGCGGCAGGCGGCGGCTCCATGCTCTTCTGGCGCAACGGTCTCTTCGCTGTAGGACCCGAGTCCGCCGGTGCCCATCCCGGCCCAGCCTGCTATCGCAAGGGAGGGCCCCTGACCGTGACGGACGCCAATCTCTTCCTCGGCCGCATCGCGCCCGACTACTTCCCCCACATCTTCGGTCCCAACGAGAACGAGCCGCTTGGCACCGAGGTTGTGGCCGACAAGTTTGCCGAACTGACGGCAGAGATCAACGCCGACAACCGCGCCATGGGACGAGCCGCGTTCTCCGCCGAGCAGGTGGCCCTGGGCTTCTTGCAGGTGGCATCCGAGGTCATGGCGAGGCCGATCCGGGCACTGACGGAGGCGAGGGGATACGACACCTCGGACCACATTCTTTCATGTTTTGGCGGCGCTGGTGGCCAGCACGCGTGCGACGTCGCAGCGGCGCTGTCCATCGAGCAGGTCGTCATTCACAAGTACTCGTCTATCCTGTCGGCCTACGGCCTGTCGCTGGCCGACCTGGTGCACGAGGTGCAGAGGCCGGCCGCCGTAGACTTTGGTGCGGCCAGCTTCCCCGTCATCGAGCAGACGCTGGCCGACATGTCGTCTGAAGCAACGGCGCATCTGGCGGGCCAGGACATCGATGCTGGCCGGATCAGGTTGGAAGTGTACCTCAACATGCGCTACGAGGGATCCAACTCGGCCTTCATGATCATGCAACACGCCGGCGAGGCGACGGCCAACTTTGGCAAGTCCTTCGAGGAGAAGCACTCGCGCGAGTTTGGCTTTGTGTTCCCCGAGAAGAGGATTCTGATTGACGACTACCGCGTGCGAGCCGTAGGCTCGACCTCGGAGCACAAGGAGAAGAGCCCCTACCGCCAGCTGCTCGATGTTGCTGGGAAACCCAAGGTCGAGGCGCCGGCCGCCGCAGGCACGAAAGAGGTCTGCTTCGAGGCTGCCGGCGGCGGCGTCGATACGAATCTCTACCTCTTGGGTACGCTCGAGGCCGGTGTTCGGATTCCCGGGCCGGCTCTCATCCTAGACCAGACGCAGACGATCCTCGTCAGGCCCAAGACGACGGCCGTCATCCTCGACAGCATCGTTGTCATCGAACTCGAGACCTCGTCAGGGTCCAACACTGGCCTCCCTTCGTCTGATGCGCCGCAGCAGACGCAGCAGGTCGAAAGGACGGTCAACCCCATTCAGCTGTCCATCTTTGGCCACCGGTTCATGTCCATTGCCGAGCAGATGGGCCGCACGCTTCAGAAGACAGCCGTGTCAACCAACATCAAGGAGAGGCTTGACTTCTCGTGTGCCATCTTCTCGCCCGACGGCGGTCTCGTGGCCAATGCGCCGCATGTCCCCGTCCACCTCGGCTCGATGCAGTTCTGTGTTCGCCACCTGCATCACCAGTGGAAGGGCCGCCTCGAAGAGGGCGACGTGCTCATCTCGAACCATCCGTCCAGCGGGGGCACCCATCTGCCGGACATCACCGTGGTGACACCAGTCTTCGACAATGGCGCGATCGTCTTCTTCGTGGCTTCGCGCGGCCACCACGCCGATATTGGCGGCACGCGGCCGGGCTCGATGCCGCCCGACTCGCACTTCCTCTACGAGGAGGGCGCCGCCATCCTCGGCGAGAAGCTCGTCAGCAACGGTCGGTTCAACGAGGCGCGCGTCATCGAAATGCTCCTGCACGAGCCGGCGCGGCGGCCGGGCATCTCGGGGCACGCGCACGCTGAGCGACAACCTGTCCGACCTCAAGGCGCAGGTGGCGGCCAACAAGCAGGGCATCCACCTCATCCAGGGCGCTCATCAGCGAGTACACGCTGCCCGAGGTGCATAAGTACATGTTCGCCATCCAGGCCAACGCCGAGCAGGCGGTGCGGGCGCTGCTCAAGACGATGCACGCCGCCATGCCGCCCGGCGGCCTGCGCGCCACCGACTACATGGACGACGGCACGCCCATCGCCCTCGCCATCACCATCGACCCGGCCACGGGCGACGCCGTGTTCGACTTTACCGGCACGGGGCCGCAGGTCTACGGCAACACGAACGCGCCGCGCGCCATCACCCACTCGGCCATCATCTACTGCCTGCGCGCCCTCGTCGCGTCGGACATTCCGCTGAACCAGGGCTGCCTCGCGCCCATCGACGTGCGCATCCCGCCCAACACGATCCTGTCGCCGGGCGAGGGGGCGTCCGTCGTCGGCGGCAACGTGCTGACGTCGCAGCGCGTGACGGACGTGGTGCTCGCGGCCTTTGGCGCCTGCGCCGACAGCTCGGGCTGCATGAATAACCTGACGTTTCGGCATGGGCGGCAAGCGCCTCGACGAGACCGGCCGCGAGGTCGTCGACAAGGGGTTTCGGGTACTACGAGACCATCGGCGGCGGCGCCGGCGCAGGCCCGACGTGGCAGGGGACGAGCGGCGTGCACACGCACATGACGAACACGCGCATCACGGATCCCGAGGTGCTGGAGAAGCGGTACCCCGTCCTGCTGCGCGCGTTTGCCGTCAGGGCTGGGTCGGGAGGCGAGGGAGCGCATCGCGGAGGGGATGGCATCGTCAGGGACATTGAGTTCCTCGTGCCCGGGGTGCAGGTGTCCATTCTGTCCGAGCGGCGCTCGCGGGCGCCGAGGGGCAGGAACGGAGGAGGCGATGGTGGCATGGGTAGGAATACTTGGGTCAGGAAAAGCGACGGCATGACCATCAGTCTCGGGGGCAAGGCGACGGCGAGCTTCGGGAGGGGAGATCGTATCATCATTGAGACGCCCGGCGGTGGAGGCTATGGCGCCAAGGTTGCCGCCTGAGTGAAGAGCGCTCTACTTTGACAACAGCCAGGGACACAGATACTCTATTAACAAATACATGGGTTGGGCAGAGGGGGTTCGAAACGATGTTGGCCTGGTGAAGATCCAGGATGTCCCTCCGAGACTGAACCATATGGCGTAGGGAGAACGTTCAGTCAACTAGGTATAGATGCACCCGAAAGTGTGGTTCTATCTTCTTGCGAGCGATAGGAAACCTTGGTGAGTTGACTAGTATTGAGATTTAAAGACGGACCTTCTGATGATGTAACATGGCGGGAGGTATCGTATGGCATGGAATACCGGAATGACAAATGCGATCAGTAGAATTCGACAACCAGATTGGAAGTTTGAATAGATCTGAGAGGAAACCCGCCGTCTGCCCAGGAAAGATAGGCTGTCTATGTGAAGATGCCGAAACCTGGTATGTTTCTTGCCATGGATTCATGTCATCCTAAGCAAAATTTTGAAAACCACGAGCTGTCATTCATAATTATACCGTAACAACCGCTAGCCCACATCAAGTATATTATATCTCTTCTATTCTAATCACATATCATACCAATCAAGCTACAAGATAGCAGCAAAGTAACCAACAAAAACTAAGAGACTGGAAGGAACCAACATAAAGCAGTGCTAAAATTCTCACAGCAGTAAGCGGCCACTAGAGAGCTTTTCCGATGAGACCAAGTGCTCTGTGATATGAACAGACAGTCGGCCCTGTGATTGCAAGAAGCATTATACTAGAAACGCTGATTTCTCACTGAGCAATAATCGATGGGGCACCTGCTCCGACTTCTCGAACATATGGCGAAGAAATCCACGTACGGCTCATTTTTTTCTACAGTTCATCTACAGCCACGCGAGCTAGGAAAAAAAAGTCCTACCGTGCTCACCACCTTATCATTCGTCTACGGACCATGGCATTCGCTCGTCATCGATGTTCGAGCACCGAAGCACGCCGTCGTCCAAGGTCTTTGCTAGCCCTGGGACTAGTCAGACCAGTCAACAGAGCACCTCGATGAGCTGCTCAAGTGTGCGGGCATGCCTCCAACTGAATCTGCAAATGCATCTCGTTGAAAAGTGCCTGTCGTCTGCGCAATACTGGTCTGGTGGTGCTTCTCACATAGCCATTCCTCGGACAGGGATAATCACGTGATGTCGCGAGGCGAGCGTATCGCGTGTCTTATCGCAGAACGCCAACGCTCTTTTCGGACACATCAGTTTTACTTGCTGTACTGAGCTCCCAACTGCCATCCAGTCCATCGAGATTCTCGCCCTCTACATCATCGGCCATCAGTACCGGCCAATGCGAGTTGATACGATGCGAGCCTGCCCCAGGTAACCTCGAAAACCCCCACGCGCCGCTCGAGGTCGCACCACTACCACCACATCTTCTCTCCATCCGCCCACCTCCAGCCATGGCTACTACCACAGCTTCAGCTTCAGCCTCGGCCGCCGCCGCCGCCGCCGCCGCCGCCTTCGTCCCGCGCCTGCGCTTCCCCCTGTCCGAATCTATTCCGCGCTCCTACTACCTGGGCCACCACCATGCCGGTCTTCGTGAGATCACAAACCGTCTCTCGAGCATCGGTCTTGTTCTTGAGTGTCGAGACTACCGCGTGCCCCTGACGTCCTGGAACCCCCACCTCGACCGCGCCATCGCCGGCCGCAACCGCATCATCGTCTACACCCACCGGGATCTGGGCACCGACAGCCCCCACTCGGTCGAGCGCGACCTCCGCCGCTACCACGCCGGCCACAACGCCGCCAACAGCGCCGTGGCCGGCCACCGCGTCGTCTTCTGGCGCAAGGACGACCCGAGCAGCACAAAGTCCCTCCTGCGCCACATTGCCGACGCCGCGCGCGCCGTCGACTCGCTGACCGGCGTGCGCGCCCTCGTCGTCGGCATGCCCAATGTCGGCAAGAGCACCCTCCTCAACCGCCTGCGCACACACGGCATGCCCAAGAAGGCCTCGGTCGCCCGCACCGGCGCCCAGCCGGGCGTCACCCGCAAGCTGTCGAGTCCCGTGCGCATCCTCGAGGGCGGCAGCAGCAGCAGCAGCAGCTTCGCCCGCGACGCCGCCAGCAGCGCCGACGGCGGGAGACGGCGGCAGCCTCGGCGAGGGCGTCTTCGTCCTCGACACGCCGGGCGTCTTCATGCCCTACGTCGACGACGCCGAGGACATGGTCAAGCTGGCGCTCGCCGGCTCGGTCAAGGACGACCGCATCCAGATGGAGATCCTCGCCGACTACCTCCTCTACCGCATGAACCGCCTCGACCCCGGCCCTCTACGCCCCGCTACAGCCCGCCCACCAACGAGGTCAACGACTTTCTCGCCGGCGTCGCCCGCCGCACCGGCAAGCTCAAGGCCGGCGGCGTGCCCAACGTTGAGGCCGCCGCCGACTTTGCCGTCAAGCAGTGGCGCACCGGCCAGCTCGGCCGCTTCATCCTCGACGACGTCAACGACGACGCCATCCGCCTCAAGGAGATTGCGCGCGAGGGCGGCGGGCCCACGAGTCTGAGCCAGGCCCGCAAGAGGGAGAAGGAGATGAGGAGGGAGAGGGCCATGAACAAGCAAAAAGCCCTTTGACCTTTCTCTCTCCCTTTTTGTCCTGTCTTCTCTCTTTTCCTTCTCTCTTTTTCTTCTCTCCCCTCTTCCGCCTCATCAAGAGATGCTCGGACCCGATGATACCCCCTCCTCTTTACTCTGTACCAGATCGCGCCGCATGTTCCTCAACCCGGGACCCCCCCCCCTTGGTGTAGCAGGCCAACTGCACAGCACACTCACGAGACCATAATGCCGAAAAATAGACCAACTGCTTCTCGGAAATTAAAACAAGTCACTGTGACTAAAATCTGCGTCCTTCTCACGTGCGGCTGTTCCACACTCCAGCCCGTACATTGGGGGTATATACGAAATACGGTACCAAGCCCCGACTAACCCAGTCTTTGTAGGCCGTACAGTAAACGCCAAAGCCTGTTTGTTCCTGGAGCGCAAAGATGTGATGACATGGGAACCGAAGGAAGAAAAAGAAGGAAAAACAAGAAGAAGAAGAAGAAGAACCGCATCGTAAACGCCGTAAATGCCGTGCCTGTTGCGCCAGTGCCATACACATGGACGGGTTCTCCGCCAAGCCTGATCGTCATATCATACATACACCGTTTGCGCCCCTGTGTCTAATTCGACACCTACCACAGGAGTAAAAAAGAGGCGACTGCATCTAGTTCGCATACTGGTTTTGCCATTTGACGAGATCGCGCGTCAAAACATCCATCATCTCCACGCAGCTGAGTTCCTTAAAGTCCTGTCCTTCAGCAGGCGCTGCCGAATCTCCATCCGCATGTTGAGCCACCTTGGACTCGGTCGCAGAGACCCCGTTCGCGTGCGTCTCGGTGGCGCTGCCGACGGCATCGCGGGGACTATGCTGCTCCGAGTTGTTTTGACTGCTCCCAGAACCGGATGACGACTCGCCTGCCATTTCGATCTGCGTCTTGGAGATAAAGTCGAGAAAGGCTGCCACGCGCCGCTTCATATCAGGGAGCGAGGCTTTGCTGTGAAGATGGGCCTTGCTCCGGGCGGTATGTCTGGCACTGTCGACGCCCGAGGCCTTGGTTGTTCCGCCGCCGACCGCAGGTTCTTCTGGACGGACCGTGTCCCTCGACATGGATCGGACAGGCGACGCCTCGGGATCGTCGCGCTCTTTCGTATACTGGTTTCTGCCTTTGGCCCGCTTCTGATGGCTCCGACTCGATTTCTTGTGCGTACTGCCGGTGGGTGCTGGAGGCGCAGGTGTCGGGTCTGGGGTCGGGGCTGCCGACGGTGTTGGCTCGACGGGCGGCGGCGGAGGTGGCTCGACATTTGGCTTGACGACAGGTCGTGCCGGAGCTGGCACCGCCGCCGTATCGTCGGCAGGCTCCGACTCGGCCGTTGAGTGCCCCTCACGTTCGGTTGGGAGTGTGGGTGCCCCGATCCCATCAGCACGTCGGCGGTCGGCCCGGCCTTTCCTCTTATTCGCGCTTTCAAGACGCTGCCGATCTCGCTCCTCGCGTTCTGTTCTTTCTTTCGGATTCCCGAGGACACGCAGTTTCTTTGCTGTCCCGTTTCGGCCTGTGCTGTCATCTTCCGAGTTATCTTCGATCGCAAAGTTGCTCTCTGGTGGCGGAGACATTGACGGAGAGCTGGTACGCTGTCGCTTGAGGCTCAATTGGTTGCTGCTTTTCCTGTTAGCAGCTGGGGACGCTGTCAGGCAGAGATCGGACATACTCCTGGCTGTTGCTGCGCCCGCGCTTGAGTCTTCGGGGCACAAGATCAGAAGGTTGCCCGTCAGGTGCTTCCTCTCTGCTTGCTTCGATCGCACGTCGCAATTGCTCATCTTCGTCGTAGCCGGCGTCGCGGCTGTTCATGGTCGACCGCCGCTTGGCTGCTTGTGCTGCCGATGACGCCCGAGCGCTTCTCGCCGACGAGTCTTTGGGAGAACGGGTGCCATCCTTGGCGACAGAAGTTGCGCGCGACGAGGACCGGGACTGTCGACCGAGGGGAAGGTAGTTTGAATATCGTTGGCTGGCAGGCTAGCTGTCAGTGTCTGGCCTAGC